AGGTGGTGGGCCCAAGAGTAGCGTACTCTAATACCATGTTAGAATACTAGCGAGAATGACGAGAAATGGTGGACTAGGAAAGGGGGAGGGGTACAAGTACAATGTCGAGAGAAATTGTGTACCCCCTAAGGCTAAACCCACTATAGCCTAGACAACTGTAAACACATAAGCTAAGCCTAGATACAACTAAGCATATATGCTTGACAAGTATTACTAGGACAAAGAACTTAAGGGCGGAGATGTGAAATAGTAAGCACGCGGAAGCAAAGAGGGAAAAATAAAACGAATGGTAAGAGAAAAGGAGGGGAACTGATTGGAAGAAAGAGAAAGCTAGATAGAAGGCGAAAAGAGACGACATGAAGGAAAGAAGAAAAAAGCATGCCAACAATATGAGTCAGAGAACAATGCGCTAATCAACAGAATTTCGATGTACAAATAGAGAAGTGTATGTGTGCGAATGAGTGTGAATAAATAGATAGAAAGGAACGAGAGAGATGGGGAAGAGAGTGAGAGACGTTGGATAGATAAACTGAGGAAGAGCAAAACATGATGAAATAAAACATACAATTACGATTTACTACTGTATGAAAGAAACGATGAACCGTAACTGCAGTTAATCAAGATCATACTAGAGACACATGTCTCCTGGATAGTCTAATTGCTGACTCACATCTGGTTCTGTTTAAAGGGAACTGGAGACTCAAGCATGGAGGAGTAAGAAAGAACGATTGAAAGTGAAAGAGAAAGAGGCAAGCCTAGAACCTAAGCTTAATCAATTGGCACCTTGTAAACGCGGCCAACACATGAGCAAACGACTATACGAGATTAAGACATGCTAGTCTAGCTAGTGTAACTTAATCCTACTTGATAGATTAGGGTTGTTCTTACCTTGGTAGGAACTGGATGAGAACAGGAAAAAACGGATGCGGGACTATGAACGACCTAAAAAACATAAGGGAAAGCTACTATCTGTACGAATGGACTAGAATCTAAGCTTAAACAACATGCTTACCTCTAGAACGACCAACATAGAAGTACACGACTAGGATACGAGATTACAAAAACATAGTCTAGCTTATAATAGTCTAAGTTAGTTCTAGATAATGGCTTAGGATCCTTCTCACCTTGGAGTGATAGGTAAAGCATGGCTTGCTGGCGTGGCGGGTATCAACCCAGCTCCACTAGCGAGAGGAAAGGAGGGAGGAAAAGGAGAAACACAAACCCTAAAAGATTTTTCGTCGCCAAAACAGGTGTCCTTAACATTTCGATATATTCTAATTTCAGGTGCTTTGGCGCAGACTATAGAAATTAAGGACGTCGATTGAAAGGTAGCTGGCTCGATTACTGCATGATCTATGTGAAGTTTGTTTTGAACCTCTACAGATAATTAGTGTTTTTTTTTTTCGCAAGAGTTTATAGTTAAAATACATACCAGAGAGCTTTTGTAAAATGCTTCGCAACCCTAGGACGACCTTGTCGCCTCTTGTTTTTTGTTGTTTTTTTGTGTGTGTTTTTTTTGAAGCACATCGTGAGTTCTATCTTCCACTCTGAATGCAGCTGTCTTTAATTATTTCGTTCAGGTTTCAGATAATTTCTTACTTACATTGTGGTTAAAGGAAGCATAAATCCTATATAAAAAAAAATTCTCAGTGAGGGATGAAGCAAGAATCTCACTGGACTCCGCTTTAGCGAATATACTCCCGCTTGGACGGAGAGAGCACCAAACTGGCTCTAAGCGAAATGTCGACGAAGTTTTGACGAGGCTTCGCCTTTCCTCTTTCGTTTCATCGTGGCCCGGCGAAGGGATTGACGAGGGTGGCACGTGGTTTATTCTGAATGGATAACTTCCTCGCCGACCACCGGCTGTTTGGCGCGCTTCTATCCAAACTGGCTGCATTTGACTCGAGTCGACGCGCAAAACGACAACTGCTGAATATGTACAGCTCAGCTCCGCGCGTCGGAAACTCCAATCAGGTGCACCCGTGGACGGAAGCGCACTGCAACTCAAACACCCTCTGTCCAATTGGCGGCGGAAATTACATCACCTCCCAAGGCGTCAATCGCCGCGCATGGCGGCACTCTTGCTCTCGTGACTCCTCCCTGACTTAGTGACTTGTGGGTCGTGCTTGATCCCACCAGACGCACGCAAAGCATATTCCCATCAACCCAGAGCAGGACGCGAACTCATACAGACCTCTAATTAGCATCAAATCAGTCAGTTCGCACTTCTACAGCTGAACCTCCTTCCCTAGTGTTTCCGCCTTCTGAGACTACTAGCTCTTATCTCATCCTCCTATCATCAGAACTGGATCTATTTTCGCTATCCCTTTCTAGTACCGATTGTCGTCACGGGTCGTTCGGAAAATGGCCACCGATACTCTCTCGTTTCTGCCTGCTATCGACTTACCAAAGTTGGCAGCAGCCTCAGCCGCGGCATCAAACTGCGGATCTTCTAGTTCCCGTATGGAACCGCCCCGTCGATTGATCGTCCGCGACGAATGCGACAATAGCGATGTTATGTCGTACGTTAAAGCTCTAACAGGATCCATCGGCAGCAGTCGCCTATTTGGACTTAACATTGCCTTCGACAGATTAAAGCCTACTCGCCCCTCCATCGGCGACTGTTACCGCTTCGGAAGGGAGCTTGGGCGAGGCCACTTCGGCGTGGTGCGAACGTGCTCGGACAAGACGACGGGAGAGCATCTAGCATGCAAGACGATTCTCAAGGACAAGATACAGGTACGTGATTCGTCTTCGCCCTTTTAGGCTTAATAAGGCTGCAATAAAGTGGTTAAATCCCCTTAAAAAATCACTAATTATGTATTTACATTTTAAAAAACGCAGAAAGAAGAAGACCTGAGGGAGTTCGCGGCGGAGATGACGACGATGATTCATCTGCACGGGACGCCCGGGCTGGTTCAGCTGAGGGAGATATTCGACGACGACTTGGCGGTGCATCTGGTCATGGAGTTCTGCCAAGGCGGCGACTACTTCGACCACATCGCGAGGAAGAAGCGACTCTCTGAAGGCGAAGCAGCGCATATATTTAGGTACAGAAGCATCCGTTTTAGCTTTAAAAGCGCTTAGAAGGCTCTTGATGCATCTCGTTTCAGCCTTATAAATTAGTTCTGAGAGTTTTTGTTTGCTGGACTAATGGATTTGCAATCATTTGATTTTTGTTGGCAGGCAAGTGGTGGTTTCCGTCAACGCGATACACGCTAAAGGCTTCGCCCATCGCGATCTCAAGCCGGAAAACATCCTCATCGCGAAGAACGCGTCACACTCAAACGAGGATGTTGAAGTCAAGATCGCGGACTTCGGGCTGGCAATCCCTGTGCACGAGGGAAAGGGGATTAAAGGAGTCGTCGGCAGTCCGTTTTACATGGCGCCTGAAGTTATCAAGGGAAAACTCTATGGCGTGGAGGTCGACGTGTGGAGCCTTGGTGTTATCCTCTACACCAGCCTCGCAGGTATTGGCTACAGATGAATATCCCAAGTTTCTAATGCTCAAAGAAAATTAACGAGTATTAATGAAGAATCTGTTTTTTCTGCTGATTACCAGAAATATACATCTAACACTCTCGTCCCTCGCTTTTCTTTCAGGCGTCCTTCCGTTTTGGGGGAAGGGTCACCAAGCCGTTTTCACCGCCATCTGCCGCGCCCAGCCGGACTTCGATCGCAGTCCGTGGCCCTTGATCTCCACCGAAGCGAAGCATCTCATCCGTCGGATGCTAACACTCGACCCGACGAAGCGGATACGCGCGTGCGACATCCTTGAGCATCCCTGGATGAACTCGGCCCACGCGAACGGGGCTCCGCGACGTCGCAGCAGCCTTCTGCGAAAAGTTTTCGGCGATATCTCGATTCAGTGGCCCGCGAACCTGATATCCGGTATTTCCGGACTTGGAGGGGCCGCTCCTGCTCCTGCTCCTGTGTCTGCAGCTGCCGATTCAGTTGCGACGAGCGACGACAGCAAGGTGGAGACGTGTTCCGCCAAGTCAGGCGGAAAGGATGCTTCTGACGCGTCGATTCCGCACGCGTCGCCCGCCAAAGACGCGGCTTCGGGAAGCGCGGAGGTCGAGAGCACATCGGAGGAACGGAAGGTAGAGGTTCCAGGAATGGCTGCGGCTGGAACAGCTCCACTGGTGAACGGCTGCACGGCGAACGGGGATGCGGGGAGCGGAACAGTGGCCATGCGCGCGCTGAAGCCCGTTCCGAACCAATCGAGGGAGAAGGTGGGGGTCACGACGGCAGGTGTTCCGCGTTTCATTGCGCAGAAGGTTCCATGTTTCGGCGCGGAGAATCATCTGCCAGCAGGGCAGCAGGTTTATTCGGTTGAGTCACATTCTGCGCCTCGAGTCTGCCCGATGGGTGAAATATTTGCTGGAAATAATGCGGGTTGCGTATTTAGCAACGATTCAAGCGATGGGTGTAGCAATTCAACGGCCTACAGTGACGGAAGTGCCGAGGTTGGCGATTTCAGCAGCGACGACAGTAACCCGAGTCAGCTGCGCGAAGAATTCCTGCCATCGCCCAGGACCCCGCCTTCGCGAAGATCTGGAGCAGCAAAAGAGCGGGAAATTGTTGGCAGCAGCCACAACGGTCAGAAGAACCGTCAGATCCAGAACAACCACCAGCTTGCCTACTCCATCGCGCACCCGTTCCCCGGCCTTTACGCGTGTCCCAATTCTCCTAGTTTCACTCCTTCGCCGTCCGCTATCGTCTGCGCAAATGGCGGACATCAGCTGGGCCCGTTCACCTCTGGCGTGGGGTTCTTCTGGCCCGGGATTTTCAGTCCGCCGGATAACGCCCGCGGTAGCATGTGTTTGCCAGATCAGCAGCAGCAGGCATCGCCGATGTCGCCGCGTCTTCCGGCGCAAGTGGGGTTCCCCGATCTGCAGCCTCTGCCGCCGACGCTCCACTCCGCCTTAGGTTTGGAGTCCTCGTCGACGACTCTACCGCTACCGATGCCGTCGCCGGTTTCGTCGCACTGTTTCGTGATGCCTGGGTCGTCGCAGGCCGGCGCGGCTGGTCCTGATGGGGCGTATCTGGTGACAGTTCCTTCGATCTCGGACGGCATCCCCGTTTCACCGTCCCAGCTTTCCTCGACTGCCACCCTTTCATCCGTGCCGGAGTCCGTCGCGCTGGAGATCGGCCCTGTCGCAGCGTGGGACGAGCAGGAGATTGGTGTTGCCGTGTCGCACAGCGACGACAGCGACAGCGACGAAGACGGCGACGGCGACGGCGAATTTGGAGCTGCAGCAGATCCGGTGACGGAGATGGCAGCAGATGCGGTGTTGGAGATGGCTGAAGACGCAGTATCGGAGATGGGAACGGGGACGCTTGAAGACCTGCTGGCCGCCGCCTTGGCGTTCGACTGCCCGTCCAGCAGCGGACTGTCTACTTCCGCGTCCTCCGCGTCGCCCGCGTCGTCCGCGTCGTCGCGCTCGTCGTCGTCGTCGGATATCAGCGCCTCGTTCAGCCTGGGGAGCAGCAAGCTGTCGTGGACCGACTTCAACCCCCCAGCGCCCCCCCCGTTGCCCTCCCCCGCTCCGCTGCCCACTGCACCCGCGTGGCCGCCCAACGGGGAGGTGGCGCCGCTGCGGCATGAAGTGTCCCTGGATCCGCACGGGACGCCGGTTTTGGAGGAGGCGTGTGTGGGTAGTCCGAGTCCGTCTTCTGGTGGCTCTCTCGTCTCTGGTTTGCTCGTTGCTGCTCCCTGCTCGCCCTCTTCTGCTGCTGGTCCCCAGGATCGTAGTCCAGGGTCCGTTCTGGAAGGAGTTGGAGCATCGCCGGAGAGCAGTTCGCGAGTAGGAGCAGGAGCTGCTGTTGGAGCTGCTTCTTCTGCTGTTGCTGCTGGTGCTGCTGGTGTTCGTCGTCCTCCGCTTCCTTCTCAGTGTCAGCCTACTCGCGGTGCTGCCTCTGCTCCTGTTGCTTCTGGCAGTGGTGCAGTGGCTAGGGGCGGAGAGGGGAAGAAGGTGCAGTCGGTTGGGTGTAGCAGCGGTGCAGCTCTGTTCTCAGGGCCGCTAGGGCTTGGAGGGAGTTCTGGGGCTGGTGCAGTTGCTCTGGCCATCAGCAGGAAGCAGATGAGGTGAATGGAGGAGCAGGGAAGGAGCAGGGAATAGCAGTTGAGAGGAGTTGAGAGGAGGGGAGGATACAGGAGCAGTGAAGTACAGCACAACTGGACATCTGTGTTGTTGACAGTTTTCATCTACGGTAGGTTGTGTCAGGTTATTTATTATTAGCAGGGGAAGGTAGCAGACTAGCAGTCAACATTCAGTTGACGTCCTATTTAGTGGATATACATCGGTCAGTCAAGAAGTGTTTGACTTCATTTTTATTATGGGCATTTTGTTGTCTTGAAACTTTATGCGCATAACTGAAGTACTCAGAGCAAAAGATGAGATCAGGTATATCTCTGAATCTGTTGCACCTGACTCAGTATAATGGCTGCCTGTGGGGTTTCTAGATAAGAATATAGCACTGAATCTAGTCTACACCACTGTAGTCTGAATCACACAGCTCTCAAACGCGTACTAGATGAGGGGCTGTCTGTCCACCAATCCAGGCCTCGCCACTTGGCGGCTGCGGATCCACCGGTCATCCTCGAGAACATCTCAATTTTTGTGAAGGGGAGCAGTAGTCCCCGAAAGGCCCTCCGCCTAGCAAGAGCAACGCAGGGACGGGGGGATTTCTGTTCCCCCATTGCCAGTATTTTTATTGCGCTACTGCCTGATCGCGCAGATGTTTTCCCTCATGCCTTTCCCCCCACTCCTCCCGCTGCTCCCGTTCCTCCTGCTAATCGCCCCAGCCCAACCCACCCTCGCTGTTCCCGCGGTTCCCGCTGTTCCTGCTCCATCTGCTCGTTCCGCTGCTTTTTTCGGTTGCCATTTGAAGCCTGTGCCTTTGCTTGAATACACTGGACGAGTACAAACTGAACCTCCCTGGAGAGTTTCGAGTCGGTGTACTCACTTTTCCAAAGCAGATTCCTCTCCCATAAACTGCTTGACGTTGTTGTGCGTTTTTTTTCTCTGTTTTGTATTTCGGAAGCAGGCGATTGCTTACGTCGAGTCGCACTGCTGTGATATAATTTTCGCTCCGTACGTTTCTGGTGTCTGGGATACCGTAGGTTTCCCTCAAATCGCATCCTCCTCCGCTCACAGTGTCAGGATTAGGGTTTGCCTAGTAGACTTGTCGGAACGCAAGAAGGCATCCTGTAGTCCTCCGCTCATGTGGGTTATCAAGTTTTCTGAAAGGTTATGTACGGGTCGAAACGTTTCTGAACGATACTGAGCGGTTCTCGCTCCGGAGCCACGAAAGGGGCTCCGGTATGAGAAAACTCGAGCTATGATTCATGGCAAGGTTAGCGAGCCACGCTTCAGAGAAAGCGGAAGGAGGAGGAAATGTCGAATCGTCATGCGGTGCTGAGGAGGACGGTAATGCTAGAGAGGAGCTCCTTAAGCCGGCGGAGATCCTAAGACAGACGAAAATTTTGACGGAAACGGAGTCTACCAAGCAGGAAGAGATATCCGCGTTAGAAGGAGAAAGCTGTCGTTTTGACGAGTCAGGTGACGCGAAGAAGCAGGATCCTGGGAAGGGAGACGACAGGCCGAAAGAATCTACAAAGAAGAAGCGGGTATGTCAGATTGTGCATTCAAGGCGCCTCAAAAGAGGCGCCTCAGAAGAATCTACGAAGAAGAAGCGGGTATTTCTGATTGTGCATTCAAGGGTGCGTCAAGGATGCGCTGTTGGCATGAATATGCTTGTCTGCCAAGGGTAGCCTTAGTGGGTTCTGGGCTGGTACATTTCTCCCTACGACGTTTGTTTCACTAGTATGTTTGCCTTCTTTTCATGACAATGGTTGCACTAATGAGTTCAGTTCTTGCGATTTTGTTTCTCTTTTTCTTCCCGTCCAACTCCCCCCTCTCCGCCACTCCTCACTCGGCCCCCCTCCCCCCATCCATCCTTGCCCCCCTATCGCTTTCCTTACCTCTTTCCCTTCCCTCCTCCATCCCACACCCTTTCCCTCTGTCCTTACACCCCTTTCAACACCCCCACTTTTTATCCCCCTTCCTCCCCTTTTCCCCCCAACCTCTTCCTGTTCATCCCTCGTCACCGTACCCCCGTAACTATGCATTTCTGTGTCATATCGTGTCTCCTCGTGTCTCCTCGTGTCTCCTCGTGTCTGCTCGTATCTGCTCTTGTCTGCTGCCCGTACGACCTCGTGCTTGTGCCGTCTCGTGCCTGCTCGTAATCTCGTGTCATCTCATGTCTGCTCGTGTCATCTCGTTCCTGCTCGTGTCATCTCGTTCCTGCTCGTGTCAACTCAGCACTCCAACAAGACAGCGAAGCTCAAGCAGAGCAAGTTAGATGCCCGCAGGGAGCAGTTTCTCTCGCAAGGTGAGTTGAAACGAGAGCGAGGTGAGTTGAAACGAGAGCGAGGTGAGTTGATAAATGAGAGCGGGGTGAGTTGAAACCAGAGCAGCGTGAGTTGAAACTGGAGCAGGGTGAGTCGCACGAGAGCGAGGTGCGTTGGAACGAGAGCGAGTGAGAGCAGGGTAAGTAAAAGGTCCGGAGAACCGAGAGCAAGGTAAGTAACACCCCGTCGACGAGGGTGATGCAGCAAGAAAAGTGTTGACAAGAGCACTTCTGCCCTTGCCTATGTCTCTCTATTGTACCCACTAACAGGCTCCCCTACATTTTCTTATGCGCTTTCGAAATGCAGCTTATAACCATCACTTTATTGTATGTTAAACTCATAAACTGTCTCTTATGCTTGCCGCCGTGAACCGTCTCTTATACTCGTTCTCTTCCCGTGCAGTTGCTGCTACCAAAACCGCAACACCCAGTGTTCAAGGTGTCAAGCTTCCTGTCAAAGGCTCAGTCGAAAAGACTCGCAGTGATAGAAAAGGTTCTCAATTCGCAGGTGAGGGATCCGGTGTGACAGTAGCGGGGGCTCATTCTGAACATCCAAATTCGCATATACTCCCTAACGGCGGTGCATTCGGGAGTGACAGTATCGAGCGTGACAGGAACGAAAGTGTTGCTGCTGCTGGGGCTCCCAGTTTAAAACCCTGCGGGTGTGTATCTGGGCCGTTAGAAGAAGCAGGGAAAGCAAAGGAGACAGGGGATGATCAGTCGATTGGTGATAGCGTATCCGGTGCAGGATTCAAGGATTCCCTTGCCAATGGGGTTTTGGAAAAGAGGAGAGACGGAGAGGAGCAGATGAACGGAGAGGAGAGGCAGGAGGGAGACAGAGGGCACGGAGCAGCGGAGGAAGGAGGAGCAGCTGAGGAAGCTGAAGAGAAGCAGTGGTGGGAGGACTCTGATGGTGACGAGGGTGATGCAGGGGAGGGTGACATGGGGACGGGTGGTTTGAGGGATGGAGATGGTGTGACGATTATTGGGGAGAGAGATAGGGCAGGGAGTGGCGGTAGCAGCACAGGGAAGGCCGTCTGTGAAGATTCACTGAAGAGTCATTGCGAGGAGGGCGGGCAGTTGGAGAAAGCACCGCACGTTCAGGAGGCTGGGCAGTTGAAGAAAGCACTGCGATTGGAGGAGGGGGAGGAGGAGGGTGTGGTAGTCGAAATTTCAGTAGAAACGAAACTGGAAGGGACGTGTGAGGGCGCAGCAGCTGTGGAGGAGGAGACTGCAGCAGCTGTGGAGGGGGAGGCTGCAGCAGCTGTGGAGGGGGAGACTGCAGCAGCAGTGGGGGGTGTACGGGGGGAGAGCCCTGGAACCGAATTAATCAGCACGGGCACGGCTGAGGTGGTGGTAGCAACAGTAGCTTCAGTGAGTGATGGGGCGGAGGAAGGGAGTAACGGGATGGTCTCTTGCAGTGCTGTAGAATCAGCAGCTCCGCTATTGGTGGCAGGTCCTGGCCCTGTTGACCGTGATTTTGAGTCGACTCAACAGTCATCTTGCGGTGCTGTAGAGTCAGCAGCTCCGCTATTGGTGGCAGATCTCGGGCCTTCTGGTGGTGATGCGTCTGCTGGTGGTGCTTCCGCTGGTGGTGTGTCTGATGTTGTTGGGTGTGCCGGTACTGGGGTGAAAGGCGGTAAAAAAAAGGGGAAGAAAGGGAGAGAGGGGAAGGAGGGGAAGGAGAGGAGGCGAGCAGGGGAGGCGGAGGAGAGGAGTATGGGAGTGAGGCAGAGAATCAAAGAGATTGGAAAGGGGAAATTGGACCGGGATTGTAAAGGTGAATGCTCTGAGAAGCTGTGTAACAGCAGTGGGGGGAACAGTCGTGATTGTAGCAGCAACGACACCAGGGAGGGCAGCGGTATTAGAATGTGTGGGAATGGGAGCGGCTTCGAGTGTGGTTCTTGTGGTGACGGCAACAGTGAGAGCAACGGTGATAGGGGGAGTGGAGGGAGGAAGGAGGGGGGGGAGTGGCGTGGAAAAGGGAAGGATGAGAGAGAACGGAGCGAAAAGAATGGGAGGAGAAAGAAGAATGGGCTGGTCAATGGAACGCGGGGCATTGGTGGCTGTGACGTTATTGCTGAGAAAGTCGTGGAGCTGTATTTGAAAAGGAAGGGGAAGAAGATTGAGAGAGGCGAGGGGAAGGAGGTGGAGGAGAGTGAAGAATATACAACTGGAGAGTACTGCAGGACAGAGGAAAGGGAAGGCAGAGGGCAGAGGGCAAAGGAGGGCAGAGGGCAACAGAGAGTGCATGAGGAGAGGGCAGGAGGGGTTGCGAAGTGTCGTATGAATGGGAGCCTTGCACGTGGGGAGAGGAGCGAGGGCGGGCGGGGCAGTTCTGAGGAAGGCAATAAGGAGGATGAGAATGGTCAGAAGCAGCCGCAACAGGAACAGCAGGGGCAGGGGCAGGAACAGGAGCAGGGGCAGGCGAAGGGCGAGGGGGAGGGGGAAGGCGAGGGGAAGGGGGAGGGGGAGGGCGAGGGCGAGGGAGAGGAGGGGAGTGGTGATGATGGGGAAGATGACTGGGAAGCCGCAGCTGATGCCATCTGCTCGGAGGTAACAGGGAATGCTGAAGAGGATGTATTTGTGGAGAATGGGGGGAGTTTGGAGAGAAGGGTTGATTACCAGTTGGAGCCTGCATTGTATGGGTTGGGGGCGCAGGGTATGAGGGCGCGGGGTACAGAGGGTGATTTCCCGGATGGCAATACCAGCAGTGTTGACAGCACAGCCATCAGCACAGGCAGGCTTAGCAGCAGCAGTGGCAGTGGGAGTGGGAGTGGTAGCAGGGGGAAGGGGTGGGGGGGTTACGGGGGTCAAGGTGGGGTGCAGGAGGGTGGGTTGCGGCCGGGGGTGAGGATGAATGGGCATGTGAGACATGTGATCCATGGGGCACATATGAATCATGTGGGTCATGTGGGGCATGTGAGTCACATGGGTCATGTGGGGCATGTGAGTCACATGGGGCATGTGGGGCATGTGGGGCATGTGAGTCACATGGGGCATGTGGGGCATGTGTCTCATGTGTCTCAAGGTGGGTGGGGCGGCGATTCCGACTCATCAGCACCGTCCTATTCTGAACGATATAATTCCCCAGTGTCTCTCTTCCCTTCCCGCAGCACTGCCCCTCCATTCTCCTCCTCTTCCTCCTCCGTCTCCCCGTCCTGCTCCTCCTCCTCCTTTACCTCCACCTCCTCCTCCCGTGCATCCGATTCCCAATCCGCTCGCCTCTCCTCCTCCTCCTTCCCTTCCTCGTCCTTCCCATCCTTCTCCACTTCCACTCTCAGACCAAACCACACCCTTCCCTCCACCACCCCCACCTCCTCCTCTCCCTCCCCCTCTCTCTCGCTGGGCGGCACTCAGAGCATTGACTTCTGCAACGGGACAAAAATCACCGGTGGGGGGTTGAGACCAGAGTATACATACAATGCAGCAGGCATGGGGGGGAGGGGGCAGTTGCGCTACCCTGCTGCTGCCTCTGCTGCCGCCGCTGCTGCTACTGCTGCTGCTGCTTCTGCTGGTGATCGCGGTTGGAGAACGGACGAGTGTGGTTTTGCTGATCTGAGGCGCCTCAAAAGCTCCTCTGTATCTACCGCCGCCGCTGCCGCCGCTGCTGCTGCTGCTGCTGCTGCTGTGTCGTCTGCTTCTTCAGCTGCTGCGTCTGCTGCCGCTGCTGGTGCTGCCGGTGCTGCTGCTGCTAGTGAGCGAGCGTGGCGACCAGATGATTCCTCTCGGCCGCCTTCCCTGCCTCCCCCGGTTGCTCTACTCTCCTCCTCTTCCTCCTCCTCTTCATCCTCCCCTTCCTCCTCGTCTCCCTCCTCTTCCTCATTCTCTTTTTCGTCCCTCAACTATCAAAACCATTACCAACAGCAGCAGCAGGAGTTTGCATGTGCGCCCAGTTTTGCTCATATGGGCGGGAACAGTAACAGTAGCAGTAGCAACAGCACGTGGAACCCACATCACCGCTCCTCCTCCTCTTTCTCCTCTTCCTCCCCTCCGTCCGTCTGGACCTTAGCCAGCTTCATCCGGTCCCCCCATAACACTTTCTCTTCCTCTTCCTCCTCCTACCTACCATCATCCCACAACAACCCATCATCACCACCCTCAGGAGCATCACACTCATCAGACCCATCATCATCATCAGCAGCAGCGGCAGCAACGCCTCTCTGTCCAATCTGTGCTGAGGAGCTCGATACAACAGATTCCTCCTTCCTCCCCTGCTCCTGCGGGTTCCGCCTTTGTCTCTTCTGCCACCACCGCATCGCATCAGACGACGGACGCTGCCCGGGCTGCCGCCAGGCCTACAGCCCTGAGGTAGCTGCCAAGCTCTCCCGCCCGCCGAACCTCAAGCTGCGGTCGTAGCAGCAGCAAGACCCCTCTCCTTGCGCCTCTGCACCTCTTTCTGACGCTTCCTTCCGTAACTGCCGCTCCCTCCTCTCCCATCCCACCCCCTCCTCCCTGCTGCTCTGCTTCTACGGATGGTGATCGTTACCTTGGCTGCCACCAACACTACAGCTCCTGCCTGAGTGAGCCGGAAAGCTCTCCCGTCCCGTTCCCCCTACCTCCAAGCTCCATGTGCTGCTGTTAGCACAAGGAGCTTGGATCCCTACACTGGCGGCTAAGCTCTTTCAACTCTAGTATCGTGTCGCAGCAGTATCATGGGCGAGAACTGCAAGAGTGTATGTTTGGTACACCCATAGTCCAACCAATATGCGTATTTGGTATTATGGCTCAGTCGTGTCCATTACCGGTAGCTTTTTCGTGCACTTCTTTTTCGGGTTTTGGATGAATAATTTGCCCCAGTTTTGTTCCTGTGCCTGCCGTCTCATTTTGGTAATATCTCTTGTGTGCTCGTGTGTGTTCCTGTTGCGAATCAAATTTGTACTTGCTGTACTACGCCACTAGTGTTCTTAGTGAACCTCCGGTAGCTTTGATAGGACCAACCACAAATGCGTCCTACCAGAAACATACACATTTAAAACCAGGGTGCACATTCAATTGGATTTCTGTCAAAGGTTAACCTTGGACCTCGGGGTTACTCGGTGATAGGAATATCTGGGGGAAAATATGTCAATGGTAACTTACATGGGGCACTATAATGCGTACGGTAACGATTTCAACGCATTTGGTAACTCGCTTAACACGTTTGGTAACTCGCTTAACACGTTTGGTAACTCGCTTAACACATTTGGTAACTCAACACTAGCAGCCCATCACGCGAATGGTAACTACATGAAATTCCCGCCGAAATGATCCTGACAAAGAGGAATTTATCGAGTTTGAAAGCTTTTACGCACAGTATTATCATTTTCAACAAGTCCCGCCGCGAATTTGAAGGACCCCGTTTGTTCTATTACCACGGACCGAAATGTTTCAGAGCAGTTTTATATATATATGTAGCTCGTACAAAAAAGGTTAAAATCATTTTTTTGATAGCATGATTGCGAACTTGCAAAACGATAAAAAAATATTTCCCGAAAGGACCTCGATGCTTTTACTTTTTATAATTACTGCAACGTTGGAGAATTTTTGCATGTGGGAACAATACACCTCTTTAAAATTGCATGTTTCTTTTTTTAAATAAAGAACCATAAACGCCTGGTCGCAAGGAGTTAGGGTTGTTTCCCTCAAATTTATTTGCCATCTGAAAGGGGTATAGATTTGTTTGCCCCGGCTGTACGACAGAATAAATTACAAACAGTTTGCGGAAAGAGCGCCAGAATATCAATTATGTATGAACAATTGTTTTTACAAAACTTACGTTTTTGCAATTAGCTTGAAAATCTGAAAGTGTGTCAGGATTTCAGAAAGTGTGTCAGAATTTCGGAAAGCTGTGTCAGAATTTCGGAGAGTGTCAGACGTTTCTGCTTCAGGATTCGTCAATTTATTCTGACGCGAGTGGGAAAAACCAGAATCGGGCTCAATTTCGGCGGGAATTTCATGTAATTACCATTCGCGTGATGGGCTGCTAGTGTTGAGTTACCAAATGCGTTAAGCGAGTTACCAAACATGTTAAGCGAGTTACCAAATGCGTTAAGCGAGTTACCAAACGCGTTGAAATCGTTACCGTACGCGTTATAGTGCCCCATGTAAGTTACCATTGACATATTTTCCCAATATCTGGGGGGAGTTCGCTTCAGCAGGTGAACATTTTAACCCTCTAGATTTGGCAAATGTATACCAAATTCATCGAATGTGCTTCCGCCAATTCGTTTCCCCCCTCCCCATACCTATTCTGCTCCCACCGAAATTGTTTCCCCTTCCCCTACAATATCATCTCACCCCCTTTCCCCTTTCCGCCACCCAAGTTGCCCTCCCCTTGATCACCAATTTCTAGATTCAAGTGTTATTGTTACGAGTGCAATTGAGTGAGCGAGCGAGAATTGCACTATCGAAGCAAAACAACACAATGAGTGAAGGCATGCGAGAAGAATATATAGCGAACTAGAGTGGTAACGGTAACGCGAGAAATTGGGGTGCGCTACGGTCCTAGCGCCGAGGTTGGGATATGTCGAGGCGGAGGTCCGGAGCGCAGGTTACCAACCGAGCCGTGAGGTTGGGTCGCATCGTGAACAGTGGTGGGAGTCGTAGTCGAGGCGAGTGTCGCGAACGGGTAACGTTTCACTGTTTGGGTGCCGATGGCGGGAACGGTCTTGTACGCGGTAAGCAGGGACACGAAGTAAGGAAAAGGAATTTTCCTTACACTACCCCCCTCCCCAAGGAGGCCCTCCTTACGAGAGTGCGTGTACATCTTGAAAATTTCGACTGCGCAGATACTCAGTGAGGACAGGTTGATTCTCAATTCTATCCAGGGGAACCCAGTTGTCTTTGGTGGGCGTGCGGTCTTTCCAGCGGATCGGGAATTCGATCTTGCGGGCTCCCCGTGGGTCACGTACTCGGTGGCTCTGTATTTTTTTCGGGCGTGATGATTGGTTCTGTCGGCGGTCGTGTCATGCTGGCGGGGCGCTTGCGAGGCAGTTGGCTGGTGGATGGCATGTATGGGCGAAGCAAGCTGACGTGGAATGACGGGCTGACGTACCAGTCAGCAGGGAGGAGGAGGTGGACGGTGACAGGTGTGATCATATGGCTCATACAAAATGGCCCGCAGTATCGAGTAGCACGAGGTCGTCGGGCTGGTAAGTGACGGGTCGGGTCGGCGTTACGCTTAGCGATGATGTTCGATTTTTTTATTGCGTCTGCTGCTCGGGTCTGTGCTGCTTGTAAAATTTTTGCGAACTGTTGCGCGCGTGGCACCGGGTTGTCAGGATTCTGAGTCATGGGTACCGTGGGGTCTTGTCCGTAGTTCAGGTAAAACGGTGACTGTTGGGTCGTGGCAGATGGCGAGTTATTGTACGCGAACTCGATGAGTGGCAGCTGCTATTCCCAGGTGGTCGGGTCGTCGCACGTGGCTCGGATGAGATGCTCCATGGTCTGGTTTATCTGTTCTGTCTGTCCGTCGGTCTCGGGGTGGTATGAAGAACTGAACTGTATTCGCGTGCCGAACTGTTGCCACTGGTTCCGCCAGAAATTGCTGGTGAACTTCGTATCGCGGTCGCTGATGATTGATGCTGGTATCCCGTGTAGTCGAACGACGGTGGAGATGAAGAGGCGGGCTGTTTCTTCGGCTGTGATTGATTTTTTGCAGCCTGCGAAATGTGCCATTTTCGTCAGCCGATCGACGACGACCAGGATCGCGTCGTTCCCACTTGCTCCAGCCGGTAACCCCGTGATGAAGTCCATCGTCACCTACTGCCAAGCATGCTCTGGGGGTGGTATCGGCTGCAACTGCCCTGCCAATTGTTTCCGTGATGACTTCATGAGTTGGCAGGTGGGACACGATGCCACGTGTCGTTGCACGTCTGTCAGCATTTCAGGCCAGTAGTAATACCGCTGCAGCTGCTGTCGTGTTTTCTCTACTCCGAAATGTCCTGAGGTAACCCCGTCGTGTGCCTCCTGTAGTAATAGCTCCCTTAGTAAGGTGTAGCCTGGTACCCAGATGCGGCCGGTGTTGGCTTTTACATAATAAACCCCCTTTGCTGCTGCGAACTGATGCGAATATCCACCTGTGAAGAACGGGTCGGCTTGATAGCCGTGGGTAAATAGTCCTGTTAGTAGCAGGCTGGTCTAGGCGAGTAGTATGGCGTGGATTTGGGCAGTGGGGCGGGTCAGTGCGTCGGCAATGTTCGATGCTCCTTTTTTGTAGGTGACAGTGTAGTGGAAATTTGACTCGAGGAAATCGAGCCAGCGGATCTGTCGTGGGTTGAGGTGGGGTTGTGCGCGTAGGTACTGTAGTGATTTGTGGTCTGTCCGTACTGTCACGTCTGCGCCGGTCAAGTAACAGCGCCACACTTTGAACGCATGCATGATCGCGAGCATTTCGCGGTCGTTTATTGGGTAATTCTTCTCGCGCGGATGCAGTTTTCGTGACTCGTATGCGATGGGCTGTAAACCGTTGCCGAAATCCTGTAGCAGTACGGCTCCAATGGCGATGTCGCTTGCGTCTGTAACCACTTCGAATGGGCGGTGTGGGTCGGCGATGCGCAGTATGGGCGGTGAACAGAGAACATTTTTCAGGGCAGGGAAGGCAGCATGCTCTTTCTCCCCCCATGTAAAAGCGACCCCCTTCCGCAGTAAATCCGTTAGCTGGGCAGTTAAGCGTGCCATGTCGGGGACGAACCGACGCACATAATAAACGAACCCTGAAAAACTCTGCAGATCCGTGATGTTCGTCGGGGGGTGCCACGCTTTCACCGTGTCCAGCTTCTTTGGGTCGATCTCAACTCCAGCCTCCGAAATAACATGCCCCAAAAAATCTAACATATCCTGGAAAAACTCGCACTTGGAACCCTTGGTCAGTAGTCTGTGCTCGTCTAAAACTTTAAACACTGCTTCCAGATCTTCTAAGTGCTGCTGCTTATCACGACTGTAGACTAGGATGTCGTCGAGGTAAATTATCACGCATTTATCTAAGAGCGGCCTAAACGCCTCGTTCATGGTCATCTGAAATGTCGACGGTGCGTTGGTCAGCCCGAATGGCATCACGGTGTACTCGAATGACCCGTACCTAGTTCTAAATGCCGTCTTGGCGCAGTCCGATGGTTCGACCCGAATCTGGTGGTAACCTCATCGTAAATCTATTTTCGAAAAGACCCGTGCTGTTTGCAGTTGATCTATCAGTTCGTCGGCGCAGGGAATAGGTGTCAGAATCTAACGAGAAGAATGATGAAACTAGAAAACGAGATGGGTACAAGTAGGAAACACAAAGTGTTGTATCCTCTAAGAACTACCCCAGTACAGCCTAAACAGACTATAGCATATTTAAGTTTGACACACCCCCATAAGCAAAGTGGGGGAGAACAAGG